GTCGTATACAGACACCTGTGTGTGTATACGACACAGTGTGTGTACAGATTCTAGTTACGATGTAGTTATGATCCAGGTACATATCATCATCAGATCACAAAGGGGGGAGTACTTTAAAATGAATCCTGGAATGCGTTTAACAAAGTCTGGTTTCCCATCGCATACGGTATGGGATCTGAAACATCTAAATAGAGACCTGTCAACTTTGCGGTAGATAATGTGTTAGACACATTCCGTCGTAAGACACGTGTGTGTCATTCGGTCGTGTGTGTGATTATTGTACGTGGCGCCAAGATCGATAGCAGTGATAGTATTTGTCATTTGTGAAAAAATGAGAGTGTTGGCTGTTACGGCTAGTGTAAGTGATTGTAGTCGAAGTAAAAGTTTATTGTTACGCTTCGTTGAAGGTTTAAGGACAGCAGAAAATTTGGAAGTGAAGATTCGCGATGTAGGAAAGACGCCACCACCGCATTTGACAGAGCTTCAGCTTAAGTTGTTTGCGGATTCTACTTTGCCTGATCCTGAAGGTGTGTGCTCGATAAGTAATGAGTTGATTGAAGAGTTACGATGGGCTGATGTAATATTAATTTCTACACCAATTTATAATTGGGCTATACCATCCACACTTAAATGTTGGATAGATCAAGTAGTTCGTCTTAATCATACTTTTATTACCACTCCAACCGGGATTGATGGACTATTACAAGAAGTACCAAAAGGCTGGGAGAACCGCAATTATAATACCAAAAAACGAGTCATACTCTTCGTCTCTAGCGGACTCACACCCGCAGAACACATCACACGATACCTCCGCTCCGTCCTCAAATTCATCGGCATCACACGAGTACAATCCGTCGACTGCGTACACCTAATGCAAGATAACATACCCGAAGAAGCCAAACAGCTTTGCGACGAAACACTCGTAACATTCCTCAAAAACCAACCCAAGGAAGACTGATACAGGAAGGAAGACTGATACAGGAAGGAAGACTGATACAGGAAGGAAGACTGATACAGGAAGGAAGACTGATA